GGAATGAAAAGATGAACGGCCTGAAAGACAGATTGGCAGTGAGGTCATGCAGGAGGCGGATGCATGATGAGACACTGGGTCATGTAGAATTGTGGTTATTTAAGGAACCCAGAGTTTCTCAAACATGACACAACCCAGCATTAATTCCCAGAAAATAGAAGGAAGGATCCTCCCTTGTGTGCACTTCCAGTGTTATAACTACAGTCAGTGATGGTTAAGGTTTTCCATTTATCTATGTTGTAAATTCATTTGTTGGAGCCACTTTTCTTCATCTGACTTCATTTAGTTATTTCTGCTTCAGTTAGGGACTTCCCACATTTCCTCTTATGACATTGTGAAATCCCTAGCGAATGGCTGTGGACTTCTATTGAACTCAGTGGTCATTGGTGGAGAGATACAGGAGATAGGTCATCTAGTCAAGAGAAATTGACACATGCACTACTGCCAAAACTTCCCCCAGCATTGTTGAACTATGATACATTTTCCTCATACTGCTCTTAAAATTAAAGCATACCATACATTTACCATACATAATGATTATTGTGGATGTTCTACTTTTTTAAATTTCTGTGTGCTTTAAGTATTTATTTCGGGCCACATACAGGGAGGTGTTTGTGTAATCAGGGTATTCATCATCTCTTAACTTTGACAGCTATTCTGGTTGGAAAAAAAAAACCCAATACAGTTGACACTGCAGTCTCAGACTAATAACTAATTTTAACTTGTGTTCACATTCTGAGAGTTTTGTTGACTGGATAACAGAGGTCAGGGGGCATGTTCTCGGAAAATGATACTGAGAGAACAAGGGGTCAGCAGGCAGTCGGCCTGCTTTCAAAGCAAGTCATTAGTTGCAGCATCACAGCTGGGAAGCCAAGAATGATTTTTGGTTCAGAAAATTGCCTTGATTATGAAGGTTCTAACCCTCAATCTGTTGTCCACGCTGGGCAGGTTTAATTTTGCCGTTTTTAATTTTTTTTATTTATTCTTGTATAAACACTTTTATATTAACCCAAATAAGGATGCTACATTTGTCTTATTTTCCTACCAGGGTGGGAAATTAGCACCAGCCACCAGTCATATGCTTGTAAAATGTGAAAGTGGCTGATAGATTTCAGACACAAAATACTGATTTACTATTAAGTGGCTGGTATATTTTCAGACGTGAATTTCCCACCCTGTTTTTTTACTCTCTAAGTGAATTTTTTGACTGCTAGCAAGTAAACACGGATACAAACCGTGCTGGAATCAAAATGCTAATGGGTTTTCAAATATTTTATGAGGAAGCAATGTGATGCATTTTGGTGAGTAACACATTTGAGCTGTTCCACTAAAATTGATACTATTATATGTACAGAGATTATAGTGGGAGGGTCTATTCGTGTGTATTGTTATTGAAAACTGTGTCATCCCTTTTGTCTGTAGATCTTGTGATAAATTGCACCTTAAATTTACTCAAACCTTGTTTTTCTACTGAAACACCAGTTTAAAATACCACACACATTTAATTCATAAATGCATGAAAGACTACATTTAGAGATTTAACTTACCCCTTCAGACATTAGATGAATCTATTTTAGGCTACTCCACTTTACACTTGACACCCTTGTGTTAAAATAACTTTTATATTAAATGACAGTTTTTAATTACAACTGCTATCTCTTCACCTCACCTCCAGTGCATTTGAACAATACATTAAATTGCTAAACACGCAAAGCCATGTATAGCTACTGGTTCATGTGCATGGATATTGTCAGTATGTGTAATAGCTCTGTGAGTCTCTTCTCACTAGCAGTGTGTGCTGCTTGATACAGAAGAAGTGAGCTGTGAACATGTCTCTAATGAGTGCAAAACATTAGGCTTAATGAGGCTGGCTTGCTTCTGTAATTAGCTTCATCAGCATCAATGGCAAGATTTCATTCTGCACTGTCCACTCTGTTCAGTGGCTCAGGGAAAGGCAGTGGGGACACGAGGCGAACAGGGATTTCATTGTCAGTGTGTGTATATACACAAACTTGGATGCCAAATGCATGAACATGCCATTGAACATGCCCAGTCTTTTGCTCTGTTTGTTTGTTCCATTTCCATAGTATCTATATGGTGCTGCTGTTAGCAAATACTGAGGTTCCTTTGAGTCTCATATGTTAAAAGCAATCAAATCAAATGTCAACTGGTGATCCACAGAGCGCCTCATTGCTTTGGCCCGCCTGACTGAAGCTGGCTAGCTAGGGAAAGAGGCTGGCTGGCACCGCTGCCTTGGCTGGAGTACAAGCTCACTCGTGACCGAGAGATGTGACAAGTGATTTCGGCCAAGTTGAAGTCTGTATACCTCTGAGTGAGCAGCATGACCTCATCGCTCACATCGGTCTGTGTCCAGCACAACCCCGGCCCACCTATCCCGCCATATGCAAATGTACAACCAAGACATTACCTCGATAACTTCTATTTTCGCTACCCCAGAGGTAGTGTCACATAAAGTGCAACAGCTCTGTATCACATTGTGGGGTTGCCACATACTGTACGTCCGGCTATTAATTTGTTCCAACAAGCTTCGAAAATGTAATTTTATACCATCCGCTCATGAATTCCATAATATTTAGTAAATTCACCAAGCGCAATAATTGTATGATTGTTTATGCCGAAAGGATGTCGTTGTTGGCATGTGGCAAAAGCCGCATACTATGTTTTGAAGTGGGAAGG